TTTTAAAAACTACTTCATTGGCTATCTTTATTTTAAAAGTTTTTTTTATCGTGCTGTAGATGAATGTTTACGTACAGAGCAAATTCGTTTCCCATTTGATAGTTTGTATATAAAATATTCCATGACATTGGTTATATGCCCACAATTTGTCAGCAGTTTCCGTATTTCCACTCTGGGTTCCCTGTTTGCTTTTGTCCAAGTTTTCTACCCCTTCCTGCCTTCTCATGTTAACTTTTGGGCAAATGTTGCCCTTTTGATTATTTTAAGGAACATGTCCCATTCGGGTATTACTGTTTATTTCATGGGCCTGTTGGTTATTTGGCTGAAAGGTATTCTCCAGGAAAAGCTTTAGTTCAGAGTCAGAATGCTGCTTTAGGGCACTTTTCTCCTGCTCCATTAGAATGCCAGTCAGAGCGTCAGTAATGGTTGTCGGGCACTGCCAGGATCCTGGGGGCTGTGGTTTGTTCCTAAAGGCTGGATATCCTGATGAAAATAAGTTCCCGTGTCTTTCTCCTGTACAGAGGCTGGTGGATTTGAACAATCTTTCTGTATACGATTGAGCACTTTACCCACGGTGCCAGTAGGGCTCCTTTATTTAACAATAAGGGTGTCTTTATGTTCAGTCTTCCTGTTAAAAACAGTTAAAACTGTCCTTGTGAGATGTATGGGGCAGTACTAAACCCAATGCTGTCGAGTAGGGTTTCCAAAGCTGTAGATGTTTACAGAAACAGATGGCCTCAGCTGTCTTTTATTTATGGTTAGTTTTTTTTTTTTTTTTTTCAAAACAAAAAATACATGTTTATGTAAATGTCCAAAGGGCCTCAGATTTTTTTTTAAGAAGCAGCTGGTGGACTTGAACCACCGATATTTTGGTTAGCAGTTGAGTGCTTGACCACTGTACCACGAGGGCTCTCTGTGAACTAAATCCTTAGCTTTCATAACAGGAAGTCGATAGATAACGAATGCCTCACATGGCTATAGTGGAACAAGCATGTGATCTGATGGGGTGGCGGTGACCCCCAGGAGAAAAAGTAACTGCTTTTCATTTTAAACTTTTATGACCAGTTGAGATCTGTGTGTGCTACAAACTGTTCCTGAAATCTTGTGTCCTCTTTTCCTCCCAGTTGCCAAGGCTCTGCAGGAGTTTGACTTAGCCTTAAGGGGAAAGAAGAAAAGGAAGAAGTTCATGAAGGATGCCAAGAAAAAGGGGGAGATGACAGTGAGCAGCCTCCCCTGGGACATTTGATCTCTGCAGAGCAGGTGGGTCAGGGGCTTCCTGGCCTGGTCTACCCTCTTATCTCTCCCCCTTCTCCCCAGGCCGAGGAAAGGTCTCAGTTTGAAATTCTCAAGGCGCAGATGTTTGCTGAGCGGCTAGCCAAAAGGGGCCGCAGGACCAAGAGAGCCCGAGCAATGCCTGAGGAGGAGCCAGCTAGAGGTAAGCAGTCCAGGAGTCCCGAGGAGCAGATAGGAAGCTTCTCTCTGAAACCTATGCTTGTGGTCAGGGAGGGAATTTGAGGGAGGACAAGAATGTCCCACGTCTTTTTGAGTAATTAGCTGCCCTTTTATTGTCTCCAGTATAAGAGCGGAACCTTGGTTAGTGGGAAGAACTAGGATTTTAGAACCTAGGCCATTTTGACTCTAGAGTCTAAGTCTTTAACTTGCTACTTGTAAGATCTGGGTAAGGGTGGAATGAAGACAGTCTTTGGCCCAATCTAAGTGGTCCATCTCATTGTAGGGCTCTTGCAAACACCTGGATTTTCTGATAAGCATTTTTCTGCTGGGGTTTGATGTCTTGCATCCATGCCAGCATTCCATTAGTCTAGAGCAAGCCACTGAGCTTGGAGCCATTGGCCTGAATTTCGTAACTTGCGCCAAACACAGCCACAGCTAACTCCTCTCTGTGCACAGCCAAGAAGCAGAAGCAGGCAAAGAAATCTGTATTTGATGAAGAGCTCACCAACACTAGCAAGAAGGCTCTGAAGCAGTATCGAGCTGGGTAAGGTTTGAGGTCGCCATGGAGCCCAAAACTAGGACTCTTCCATCCTCCAATTCTCATACACATAAAACTCGAACATCTATCTGGGCTCCTGTGCCCCATGACCTGTCTAGGGATCCCAGGTTGCCACCGGGAGGCAGAGGTATTGAGGCCCTCCTGCCTTGGAGGTGAAATGGCACATGTTCAGGATCAGAAATAGAGCTTTCAGAAGAATGATCTAACATCTCAGCAGTCTGTTCTACAGAGCCCTGAAGATGCCTGACTTGCTGTTGCTCTCAGGACTACCTGGGGCAGTGGGTGGGGAAGGGCTAAACTTTGGAAGTAATTTTATGCCATACAGAAGAAGGACCTTTGCTAACCTTACTTTCCTTGACTTCTACAAACCCGTATTGTTGTTGTTAAGTGCCATTGAGTTGGTTCTGATTCATATATAAGGTTTCCCAAGGAGCGGCTGGTGAGCTTGAACCACCAACCTTGCAGTCCAGTGTAATAGGTGGAAATGCAGACACGCCTGGCTTTGAGAACTTAAATGTCCATTCCAGTGCTGTGGTATTGCTATGTGCTGCTGTGGGGACGGGGTACCCATCTGTCCCACAGCCTATCTGTTTCAGCTTTGCTTCTTTTCTCCCAGACCATCCTTTGAAGAAAGGAAAAAGCTGGGCTTGCCCCACCAGAGGCGAGGAGGAAATTTTAAATCTAAGTCCAGGTAATGTGTGTACTCTTGGAGGGCTAGAGGCTGTGGCTCCTGGGGTTGGAGTTGAAAGCCTTTTTTGGGAAAGGAGCCACTTCCCCTTTGTGGTCTTGGTGCTGATCTGAATTCTGTCCATTTTCTTAACAGGTATAAGAGGAGGAAGTAGCTGTGGTGGCCTGAAGATGCCTCTGGGGCGGTGGGGCCTTTTCTCCCATCTGTAAAAAAATTCTTTCATACATGAAGTGTGTGTGTCGTTTGTGCATCAAGAACAATGGGGGTATGGGGCGGGGGGTGGAGGTGGGGGTGGGTATGTAACTTTTCCTGAAGCATTTCAGTCAACCAGCCAAAGTTCCCTTCTTGCTGATGAGCTTTTAGTTAAAGAATATACAAAATCAAAAAGTGTTTTTTGTGGTAGGGCAAGGATTCCTCTCTGATCATATGGGTTATTACTGTCTCTCCCCAGCAACTCTGCTGGTGTGGAACGAATGTGACCTCATGGGGTTTGAGGGGTGAGCTGCGTGTGTGGAGTCGGGAAAGCCTTGCTGGACATCCTCCCATTTATCGAGCACTGGTCACGTGCTGGACATTGTGTGTGCTGTGCCCCTGACACTGTGCAGGTCACCAGCCAGAAACCTTGCAGAGTTGCATGGCTGGGATCACAAGGCACTTACTGCTGGAGATGGGACCGCAGAGTGGGGAATCCCACCCTTTCCTGAATCCCAGGTCCCCTGGAGAATTAGATGAAAGCTACAAGGTAACCCTTGGGAATATTATCGTGCATGTCACATACTAGTTCAGGGGCACATACTCCACCCCCCAGCTTTCAATCCATCGTAGTTACCTGGGAACACATGTTTTAGCCACTAGTGTTGGAAGCTGCTCAGAGGCTGTGGGCAAGACTCTGCTCTGCATGTGTCTCATGAAAACATGTGAAAGAGCCAAGCACAGACCTGTGGACTGTCATCTCTAGTTTTCAAGGGTGTGAAGATTTAAAGCCTCCAAAACCCTATACAGGTTACTGTGAGTTGGAACAGACTCAATGGCACCTCATAACATGTTTACTGGTGGCTGGACGTCTCTGGGAGGGCTTGGGAAGCTGGAACAGGGTCCTCTCTAGGAAAAGAAAGTTCAGCATACTTTTTTCTATAGGACCGAAAAATAAAAAAAGACCTTTTTTTTTTTTTTTTAAAACCATAGATGAAACAGAACTCAACAACAGCTAAATACAAGTACAGTATAAAAGTTGTATTATAAAAAGTTAAATGGCCTCATTGGAGCTGCTTTTCACAGGGGAGGACAAACATGGACTGCCCAGGTTCTCAGTCAGTATTTTTATTAATTGGCTTTATAAGCTAAAGTGCATAGTAACGACAAAAAAGGAAGTGCATACATAGGAAAGGGAGGTTTGCCGCGCCCATGTTAGAAAGGACCTGAGATGCCTAAGTGTTCTAGGGACCACGGGGCTAAGGGAATGAGGACGGATGCAGGTGGTAGGTCTGGGGGCTGGCTCCTGGTATGGGGCAGAAGCTGCTGCCATGCTAACCCTGCCCAGGCAAAAGCTGCAGTAGAAGGGGTTTGAGATGAAGGGGCTAATGGGTTGGAGAGGTGTTACTGACTCTGAACGTGAACTTGTTTCCATCTGGAGCCTAGGGGAACCAGCATTGCTTCTAACCCTGTCTGACTACAGGCCAAGGAGCCCCACCAGCCTCAAACGCACGTCAAAAGCAAGGTTCCTGGATCACTCCTAAGCTCACTGGGCCTGAGGTCACTGTCTGCCCCCCAATTCCCCCTGACCTGGGGGGGCCGTACTTCTTCCAGTCTCAGGGACTATGCAACAGGGTTAGGGCTAGTGAAGTCTTGTTTTGATTACACACTGCCAGCTCCAGGAGTGGGGGTCCCTGAAGAGGGGGACAGAAGGAATGCTGTGCCCCTTGGAAAGAAGTTGGGCCTCTATGGGAATGCAAGTATGGGTCTGCCCAGAAGAATCAGTCTGTGACCTCAGCTGCCACTCTGCCTGTCCCACCGGGAGCTTGGGTGGAAGTCCTGTATGTACTCCAGGGAATTTGTCCTCTAACTTGCAGGGGAGAAAAATAGGAGAAACCTGTCCACTTTGCTCTCAGTTCTGGGGGTAAAGTGCTTACTCTAGGGCAGGGGTAAATCTAGAAACAGATGGGACAAGCCCTAAAAGTGGATCCTTAAATAGGTGCTAGGATTAAGTGGACAATCATAAAAACCCAAACCAGCTTCTTAGGGAAGCTGGCCCCAGCCATGCAGTGACCAGGGTGAAAGACAGACAGCGGCGCATGTGCCGTCCTACATCATCCTCTGGATCTCCTCAAAGTTCATCAGGTTGTTGGCAGTTTCTGACCAAGCAGGATGTTGGGCTCCATCCATCTCAGGTGCAAGCTGGTTGCTGCTTTCCAGGGTGTGACAGGTGCCACCAATCACCGCCTTACAGTCGGGACATTTGCCCCTCTGCATGGCTCCCCCACATTCGCTGATGACGTAGATGTGGCCATTGGGACACTTGAACCAGTGGCCACGAGGAAAACCCATGGCGCTGACAATCTGCACACGCTCTTCCTCGGAGATGGCCAGGCCAGAGCAGGGAAGGCTGGCTTTCAAAGCTTCCATCTTTTCTTGCACAAGCTGCTCGTCCTCCTGGGTGAACTTACGTGTGCTCATGAGGACCTTCTGGATGCTGTGCACCTCTTCAGCTAGGCTACCTCTCACCTTCCCCTCGGCCATCTTGCAGCGGGTCAGGAGGTTCACCAGGTATGTGAGCCTCTGGATTTCACTCTGGAGGTCACTCAACTCCTGGCTGGTGAAGCTCAACCGCTTCTTTTCAAGCCACTCATGAACCTGGTTTAGACGGGACTTCACATTTTTATACTCTAAGACATGCACCCTCTTCAGGGAATCCAACATGCCAGCCAAGCGGTCATAGAAGCTGATGCAGTTCTCAATAAGCCCCAGGCCCTTCACTGACAGGGATTTCTGGGCCAGCTTCTTTTTTAGCATCAGGAATTCTTCTGGAAGCCATTGGAAGAGGAGGGTCTTCCTCTCCAAGAGGGCCTTAAGTCGCTCCTGGCTGGCTGCGATTTCCGCTGCGGAGCCTTGGATCCTTTCCTTGATGACTTCGATCTCTTCCAGCCTCTGTTTGATGCTGGCTCCATACCTCAGGTTTTTGCGGATGGGCACCTGGCAGATAGGGCAGACTTTCAACTTGATGGCCACTTCATCATCTTTCTGTTCGTTCATATACTGGTCCAGGCCTTGCACCTCGAAGATGTGGCTGCAGTCTTCCAGCTGCACAAAGCGGGCATCGGGTTCATCCTCAAAGCCGAAGAAGATCTGGGTGACCTCTTCCTGGTGACACACACGGCACTTCTTGGGACATGGCTCCCCGCACAGACCAATGCAGGGGTGGCGGCAGTCCAGCAGCTTCGTACAAGGCACATAGCACGGGGGTCGGTCACAGGGCTCTGAGCAGAGTTTGGTGCACTGGTAATGCTGGCAGCGCCAGACGCAGGGCTCCACACACGGGGTGCACAGTTCCCCACACCTCTTCTTGCACTGACTGTGGACACAGCGGTTCTGGCAGACCCGCTGGCAGGGTGGGCACTCGCCGATGCACGGCTCCTGGCACTTGTGTGAGCAGATGAGTAGGCGCTTGCAGGGCTGCTGGCAGCGCTCATGGAAACGCCCTTCAAAGCAGCTGTGGCAGGAGCCAGAGCAAGGATGCCCACAGTCCAAGGTGGTGCCGCACTTGGTGGTGCAAATGACTGACAGATCAAACTTGATGGTGTCCACTTGGCCACACTCCACCTGCTGCGTATGTCCACACCTGAGTTCCGCGGAGACCATTTCTGAACACCACTGTACACATTTCTCCCCACAGGGGTGACTGCATCTGTGCCCACAAGACAGGAATTTGGGGCAAGGCTCCTGGCAGCAGAAATCTGACTCCGACACGGAGCAAGGGACCATTTGTTCATGGCCACACCGAAGAATGGTTTTGGGCACCTTCACCTCACAAGGCTGACACTCCTGGAAACAAACTTGAGGGCACCGGTGCCCATCCTCACAGATGACCTTCTGGCAGGGCTTCATGCACTGGAACTCCTTGTGCGACGAGTCATAGGGGTGACAGGCCCGGGTACAGACGTGCCCGCAGCTCAGTCGGAACTCACAGGTCAGGTTGCAGCCTCCCTCGGGCACTTTTTGGAAGTCGGCTGCTTTGGATACCAAAGTGTGGGTGTTGGGGTGGTTCTGGCAGCACAGCTGGAGCGCGGGGCCTATCTGATTGTTTTCCCGAAGGGTATGAATGATCTTGCTCCACAGGGGCACCTTGGCCAGCATCTGCATGTTTCCAATGCAGTACATGCCCTTCTTGGCCCGAGACAAGGCCACGCAGATCCGGTTGGAGATCTGGAGAAAACCCATCTTGCCTTCTTGGTTGCTGCGCACCAGTGAGAGGAGGATGATGTCATTCTCTTCCCCTTGGTATTTGTCCACGACGTGGACCTTGACCCCGGCGAAGGTCTTGGCAGGCATGAGTTTGCGTAGGCAGAAGAGCTGGCCGGTGTAGGTGGTGAGGATGGTGATTTGGGAGGGGAGGTATTCCTGGCACAGGAAGTACTTGCAGAGCTCCACCACAAAGTGGGCCTCGTGTTGGTTCTGGTGGCTTTTACCCTCTTGAATCTTCTGCTCAGGGAAATTGTGTTCTACAAAGAAAATGTTGGAGGCAACCCCCTGAAAAGGAAAACAAGTGACATTTTAGAAGGTTCACTGACGGCAGCTGGTTTCCTGGGCATCAGTCATTGGGACTCAAGAGGCTGACCCTTCCAGAGACAGACTGCACAGCACAAGGCTCAGTTCTGATGTTAATGAGTCACTAAATAACAAGCTTACATCCATTTCTGGTTTTCAGGACGCTTGTTTGATACTTACATTTAAGACCCTCAACCCCCGATTGCCATCGAGTCGATTCCGACTGGCAGCAAATCCTAAAGGACAGGGGAGATTTGCTCCTTAGGGCTTCCCAGATTGTATATCTGCTATGACAACAGGGCAAACAAGTGCTAACTTACTGAGCCCTCACTCTGCTAACTGCTTTACACAGATGATCTGTCCCACCGCGTCATAAGCTGGGAGCCACCACTCTCCCTTTACAGAAGACGGCCCTGGCACCCCGAGTCCTTCCGTCACTGCTAAAGGCAGGGGCTCAAGCTCCTTGGAAACTCTTGCCCTGAGTTGGAACCGGCTCCACGTCACTTAACTACAACACACAGCTGCTATGTGGCAGAGTCAGGATTCTGGGCTCCCAGCCCCCATAAAAAAGGAAAACAAACAAAACAAAACAAAAAAGCAGATACTGAGTCCACTCTAAAAGCGACCCCAGAGGACAGAGAACTGCCTGCCCCGTTGGGTTAACAAGGCTGTAATCTTTAAGGAAACAGACGGCCCTGACTTTCTCCCCAGGAGTAGCTGGTGGGTTCGAACTGCTCACCTTTCAGTGAGCAGTTGAGAGTTAACCATTATACCACCAGGGCTCCTCTCCCATATCACAGCCCCTCCCCCCTCAGTAGCCGTTGTGTGTGTGTGTGTGTGTGTGTGTGTGTGTGTGTGTGTGTATTTTAACTGGCTATATTCCCTTAGGAAAGGAGCTCTGGTAGTGTAGTGGTTATGAGTTGGGTTGCTACCCTCAAGGTCAGCAGTTTGAAACTACCAGCTGTTCCACGGGAGAAGGATGAGGCTTTTGGCTCCTGTAAAGATTTACAGCCTCGGAACCCTGTGTAGGGTCGCTATGAGTCGGACCACCATTCCCTCAGTCGAGCTCCTTTTCATCCTAAGGAAAGCACAACCTCCTAGGTTACTGACTGTTATTGTTAAGTGCTGTCGAGTTGGTTCTGACTCACAGTGACCTGTACAGGGTTTCCAAAGGGGCTGGTAGGTTTGAACTGCCAACCTTGTGGTTAGCAGTCCGTTTGTTGCTGACAGTACCAGAGAAAGATCAAATAGGGCAGATTTACCTTAATGTCCTCATACTTGAGAACAGAGGGGTGATTTTCTAGGTCCTGGTAAATGTGGGGGGTCAGAAGGCGGGCAATTTCAGGGCGCATGCGGTGCTGTAATAGGACAGAAGATAAATAGACAACTTCACTAAGGATGAGGCTGCTAATGGAACAACTGGGGAGGAAACATTTAAAAAGAGTACTAGAGAAAAGGAACAAAATATAGATCTGAACAGTTTCACCCACCAACACAAACTCATCACAAACTAATCCCATCATCTTCTAAAGCGAAGAAAACAAAGTACGTTTTCATCACTAAAACAGCGTGCTTTTTATGAGACTTCTCTTGCTGGCCTCTGGCAGGCTCCTAGGAACCCTCCCCTTGGGCATTTGGTAATAATAGAGGCCCAGCTTCTCACCTGGTAATTCAGGCGGACAAAGGGAATGTTTACTTTCACCAGCCGTTCAAACAGGGACACCTCAAGGTTGAAGTTCTTGGCCAGATCATACACGTTGGCATTGGGGCGCAGCTGGGAAGAGAAACATGGTTGAGGATTCTCTACTGACAACACATTTTAGCCAGGTATCCGTTTCCCTGTCCCTGAGGGGTGAGAACGACAGCACTACATGGTGAATGGGACCAGTGGCCCTGAATTACATACGTAAAGAGGGTGCAGATGGCACAAAAATGACCAACAGTAGCAAAACCAAAACCAGCCATGAGAGGAAGCACGGAGGATGGGGTGGGAACACAGTGAGCAAAGGCAAAGTGGGATGGGACAAACTAAAGGATGCAGGCTGCCACCTGTGCACATGGGCCCTTGTATGCCACCTTAAGAAGGTCGATTTCTATTATCAGTGCAATGGGCAGCCAGAGTCTTCAACTGTAAGTGACATGATCGAATTTACTTTTGTTTTTCAATCAATCTGACTCCTTCATGGAGAAAGGATGAGAGGGTAGTAAAAGTGGAAGTAGGAAGAAGCCAGGGAAAGATGTTGTTGCCAAGGTCCACTGGAGAGATGGGTGAGCTAGGGAAGCAGTGGAGGGGCAGATGCACCCTGAGTCTGCTAACACCTGCTCTGACGGGGAGTGTGGGAGGCCAGTCCACCTTCTAGAGACTCCTGCTTTACCTGCTGGTGGTCCCCAATTAGAATGAGGTGTTGGCAAGCTTTGCTCAGTGTGGCAATGGTGTGGGCCTCCAGGACTTCGGCAGCCTCTTCCACAATGACAATCCGAGGCTCCACCATCTGCAAGATCTGTCGGTATTTGGCAGCACCTTGAGTCAGGAAAGAAGAGAAAAAAGGCTCCTCTGAGCTGATCCACAGGACCCCCAGACCGCAGACGCACTGCGAACCCCCTTTTGGGTCTCCCTTACACCTGGGTTGGTGACAGTTTAGTCCTCATATTCATCCAGGGCGGTGGCGATTATCGAATGAGAGTGGGTGGGCTCCAAACACACCCACACAGGTCACTGGTAAACTCAGGGGCTAGTAGATGGATTTCACCAACGGTTCCCTAAATATGGGTTTCTCTCAATGGCCTTTCCTGGTATTTTCTTTTAACCCACTGAAGACACTCCTCCTTACTTGTCCCAGGTAATCTGATAGAAGCCTGGCCCCCGCAGTAACCATCTTACCTGTGGTTGTCATCCCTACGACTTCAGCATTTTTAAGGATAAGCAGATCTTCCTGGAGCCTGAGTTCAGCCATTCTCTCTGCCGATGTGCGGTACAAGTGCTCAAAGTTGAGGATCTTGCGGCGGGTGTCAGCCTGGTACATCTGGAGCCACAACCTGGAGAAGGGGAAGAACCAGGGAGAGGGAGTCATGTGGAAGATGAAGGAACACCCTTCTGTGCGCCCTGTGTATGAAGTGGACCACCAACCCTCGGGGAGTTTAGGGATTAGAGACCCAGATGTATAGAGGCCCGAGAATCCAAAATGTCTGAGGCTCTTGAGGTCCCTGACTCTCTTCCTGATAGTTCACACCTATTGTTTCTCTCAGCCCCTTCCTCCTTTAGCTCCTAACTGTTTCAGTTCATCTCTCTGCACATTGGTTGTGTGGACATTTTGGGATGTGGGGAGTGGGCAAAGTACCTATAAAGCTGCCACCGAGAATTCAAGTCCAACTGCCACACGTCCTGGATTTCCCTGGCCTCGGCTTCAGTCATGGTGCTTAGTTTCAGAAGCTCATTCTTCACTCTCTTCTTCATTTTCTTTTTCTGACTGCGTGGGGTCTGCAGATGTCAACACCAGCCAGGTTCATGTCTGAGCAGCAGTGGACCTAGGTCTTTACCCAGGGTCAGGGCAGTGCTATAGAAAAAGGGTTGTCCCCCCGCAAGAACAAGGACACCCCCCCCCCCAAAACGAGTGCTTTATCACACAGTAAGTAGGAGCAAGACCTAGAGAGCCAGTCTCCCTTGGGTCAGAGCCCCTCCACCTCTCCTTAGTCGTGGGGCCTCTGTGGGCCTCAGCAGCCCCTCCTAGCACATGGGAGGAAGAATAGCATCTCTTGACAGAGCTGCGAGACCAACTGGGGGAGTAACTACACGGAGAAGATTCAGAACAGGGAAACAGTCATCTGTCACTAAGCAGCTTCTGACCACAGTCTGATTCTCCTCCCTAAGACATATATGTACACAGTAAGGGGCTGCCAGGTGTTGGGGTGACTGCTGCATGCACAGGGCCTGGTACCTTAGCACAGGCCTTGCTCGGCACAGGGTCTACTAAGATAGTCTTAGAGGCATCGTGTCAACATAACAGCTCCAACAAATGGATGCGAGGCACCACCAATCAGGAGGCAGTGCCCTCCCCTGGCTCTGCCCTCGAGTCTGAAACAAGAAGGACTGGCACTTGAAACAGACGTCACCATGTTGTGGTCCTCCCCGGCCTCACGAACCAACAAAGCTCCTGAAGTCACACGGCAGAGCTGCCCGGATACAGCTGGTAACGGGCCAATTCAGGCTTCCATGCATTGAGATGGCAACTCTCAAATAATCTTATCATCAGTGGTGCTGAATTGAACCAGAACTGCTTCAGAATTTAGCAGCCAGGCTAAAAATTTGTACCTAGTCAAAACTGCCCTTGATTTCCTTAAATCATCAGTAGGGCTGAGGGAATGTGGTTTCCAGTGTCCAGTCCTCTACTGCCACAGGACTGGGACTCCGTGATAAATTCTGAGTGTCAGTGGGCCCGACCAAAGGAAAAAGGAGACAGAGATGGCCATTCAAACCACTCGGTCTTTAAGAAAAGTATCAAATCTGAGGGGGTCGATGAGGGTGAATTCCATGTAGCCTGTGGGGTGGCTTTGTCTGAATCTGCTAACATTTTAATTCATGGTCACAGATGTCATTTTGGTTAAGATGACAATCTCTCTCTGGAAACACCAAGCACTGAGATGACAGGTGCGCACTCCTACTCCTACATGCTGCTGTCTTCTAAATGCTCTAGAGAAGCATTTGGTTTGGCTTCCTGGCTTTCTAAGTTGGCATTTCCTGCTAGGGGCCCTCTGGGAATGGACCCTCTTATTCCAGAGTTAGGCTGTCAAATGGGTACATTAAGCTAATTGTGAGGGTGAGGTGGGCTACGTTGTGATAGAAGTTGACTGGGCTGAGGCTCGTGTGACAACAGATGCTCTCAGACCTACATTAGTAGAGTCTAGACCCCACCCTCACGGCAGGAATACATGCTCTCTGGTTCCCTTTTGGGGGCCAGGAAGAAGTGGGTTTACCTGCCACTCTCCTGCGGCTGCCTCCTGCCCAGCTGCAGTCCCTTGGCCAGCATTGTCAAGCCTCATGGCCAGAAGCATTTTCGCCAACAGCAGGTCAGCTACGTTCTCTTCCTTCTTCGGCCGCCGGGGCCTCACCACTTCCTCCTCCTCAATCACCCGGTCGGCTTGAATCAGGTCAGCCTCCTCTGCAATCTTGATTAGCGAAGCCTCCTCCTCCCCATCTTTCTCCTCATCGTCCCCTTCTTCCTGGGCTATGAGAGGAAGCAGGACACGAATGATGGCTCTTGAAGCCACAGGAGAGCAGATGGCACCTCCCAGAGATCACAGGCCCGAAGACATTCCCAAAAGGTGAGAAGTATCTACCACAGGAGAGGGAAACTGGGAGGCTGAATTAGCTGAGGAAGACTTCAGTTACTTATTTACATTTTTTGTTACTTTAGTATATGCATATATACCTTTTAAAAAGAAGTTTTTCCTAATAGTCAAACACAGGCGTGCATACAAGATATATATGCAATTTAAAAGAGTCATAAAAATATAAAATTAATATCCAGGTATTTTCTAAGTTAAGCAGATAATCACGTTTCTTTAAAGTGCCTTGTGGGCACGTTTTTTTTTTTTTTTTAATGTTTTATTGTGACTTATGTGATAGTTTACATGGGAGAATATTAGCTTTACATTCATCCTATCTATTATCATTTCATTGCCATGGTTACAATCCCTTCCATGATTCATCAACCAATCAAAGGGTATACACACAGCCCCTCTCCCTCTCTGGGTCCAAAGTCCCCAGCTGCTCCATCTCTCCACGTCATTGTCTCTGCCTCCATCTCTGGAATCACTGCTTCTCTGGGTAGGGTCCTGCTCTCCGCTCTTCTCCCTTGATGGTCCGAGGGACCTCCACTCTTGGACTGCAAAGTTAATCACTCCCCTCCTTTTGCTACAAAAGGTCTACCTTTACATTTCCAACCCTCACAAGCAGTTCTGATAACAATTATTCACTGTTGTATCACAATAGACCTATCCCCATCTCCTTTGATCAGTCCCGCCCAGACAGATTGGATACTACTCAGTGGAGACTCTACCTTCCTCTGTGCCCTCTGGATCTAGGCTCCCTCTTGAAAGCTTGTAAACCAGTCACTTCATGCCTTTGTAGCCCCCCATTTTGGGTAGCTAATGTCCAAGTTGCCCATCCCTGTCTACTCTGTGTGTATGGAGTGGGTGGGAATGATCCTCGCTGTAAAGATTTGCTCCCTCTTTTCAGCTACTGCATCCACAGGTGTAGGTCAAGTTCATCAAATTATATCAGATTATTCTTTTTCCTCTTCTTTCTTCTACTAGTTGAGCTCTGATCATCCAGTCACTGAAGCCAGGTCAAGTGGGTATTGTCTGGAAGTGTGGGTGTGCTTGTGCATATGCCCTCTCTTCTTATCAGCTGGACACTTCACTTTCTACTCTGGTCCTCTGTGGCTAGGTCACCGACTGGGCCCAAGAGTCCCCAGGTGTCACACTGCTGGCTGACCAGGTCTCCACCTGGGTTCACAGGAGTCTATTAAAAGTTGTAGGGCTTAGCTTGCAGCTTCATTGCTGTATTTCCCTTACTTCCCCTTATCGGTGACAAACATGGTCACTAATCAGAACGTATGTTTGCTCGTGTATGACTGCTGAATCTTAGTCTTGGAAGGGGGTTTACCCTGAGGGGACCTGACCACTTGCCTTCATGTCTCCTGGACGAGCAACTTGCTTGTTCTTGTAGTGATCAGTCAGACTGTTGTTATTGTTTTGTATTTTTCCTGTCTGTCTTTCTTTCAAGAAGTATCTACTGTTCTTCCAGCCACTCCAGGCTGGTCTGCTTGTCCTTTCAAGTAGAAATTTCCCTTGTGGGCACTTTGAACCAGAATTTATTATTTTCTCATGTTTCTGGGGTTTTTTTGGTGGGTGGTGGTGATGGAGGGATGGTAAAAAGAATTTTACTATATATATGTTGTATATGTATCTCTGAACAATATATTGGTTATTTTTGACTTTTTAAAAAAGTTTTTATTGTGAATTGAGTGCTAGTTTACTTGGGAGAACATTGGCTTTGCATACATCGTTTCATTACAATGATTACAATCCCTCCGTGCACCATCATTCAATAGTATTTGCTTCTATTCCCTGTTTTTTGTTTTGTTTTTTGGGGATACTCAGACACCCTGTATGGGGTCGCTGTGAGTCAAAACTGACTCCATGGCACATAACCACCACCACACAAAAACACTCAGGAATATATAATCATTTAAACAACCAAAGGGCACATTCTGCAAGCCTGCCTCCTGCTGCCAGCACTCAGCTTTTCTCTTTCCAGGAGTCTAGAGTCCTCAGCTGCTCTCTCTCTCCATGTCCTCATCTCTGCCTCCATCTCTGGTGTCGCTGCTTCTCTGCATAAGGTCCCACATTTCGCTCATGAATTTTGACTATTTTTGAGCTCTAAATAAATGGCATCAGATTGTTCACAAATTTTTGTAACTTGTTTTCATCAGCATTGTTTCTGAAATTCATCTACATTGCTCTGTATTCAGTTTCACAGTTTTACAGTATTTAATAGTTGGTTCATCCACTGTACAAATCCTGGTGGGCACCTGAGTTTTTCTGCTTTCATAAAGTGACTGTGCTAATGAGAAAGCCCACTAGCAGTTTCATCAGTGTCCCCATCACGCCACATTCTCACTAACACTGAATTACATCAAACTTCAAAATTGTTGCCAATCTGGTAGTTGGGTAATAGTAGTAATTCATGCTGGTTTCCCTACTTTTTACTGAGCATGTGTTCACGTTTATTGGCCATTACAATGTCCTACTTTGTGAAATGCCCGTTAAGTCTTTTATTTTGTTTTCCTATTATGCTATTTGTCTTTCTTTAACTGGTTCATACCTGTTCAACATAATTCTGGGTCTGACTCTGAAATCCTACTGTTGCAGACTTTACTAGATTCTATCTTATATTGTAATTCTAGACATGTGCTCCTTACCTGTATTCTCAGGCCCTGCTGGAATAATACTTTGGGTAAAAGAACCGACACCGAGACCCAGCCACTCCAGCATCATGGAGTGCTTCCGTCCCTGGAAGCAAATCCATTCGGGATCCTGAGGAAGGAAGGATCAGTCATGAGAATTCTCTGTCAACATGTGTGAAGTCAGTGAATTTTCTAAGGCTAAAAAATAATTCCTTTAAAATTCAGTCTGCCAGGTGGCATTCCTTGGCAATTGGACCATTTACCATGCTTTTGCACTGAATTTGAAAAACTGGAGTATTTCTTCACTCCCTGCCGACAATAAAAATCGAGGTGGCCTGCCTTTCCTGACAAAGTCAGGAGTGACGACCATGAAGGATCCACATTCCTGAATGGCTACAAGTGATGGAGCTGGCATTGCCCCACCCCTTCTCCAGTCGGCCACAGCCCCTGCCATTACCTGACGGACCCCTCTAGGCTTCTGCTCTGTAGCCCCTGAAACCATCAAGCGAATGATAATAAGGCTACCAATTCATGGGTTCCTGGTCAGCCATTTCATATCTCTTCTAGTCTTAATCTTTGTAACTCCCACCCTTTCCCTGATGGGTCTGGGTAAGAGAAGGTGTGAGAAGATGCTGACAGGTTACGACACAGTTGTGAGTGATGGTTAAAGGGTGAATTCTAATAAAACCTTGGAACTCTAATGTGGGTATACAATGAGCCATCTTAGAAGCAGGAAGGGGGGGCCTTAATGCCATCAAAGAAGAGCGGAGGGTGGAGTGTGTCCTTTGGACCCTAAGGTCCCTGTATGTTGACCCTCCTGGATCCAGGAACAGAAAGCTGCAACACTGGAGTAGCAGAGCAGCACAAATAAGAGCCGGAGCACCAGGCAGAGCGGGTGGGCTTCCCAGCCCATGGAGCAAGTAAGACTGAGTAACTTTAGACTGGTGGCTCACTTGTATAGTGGGGTGCCTCTAGAGCACTTAACTGGGGAGGAAATAGGTTTGCTGACCCACGGAGCTAGCAGAGAGAAGTGTCTTTTAGGCATTTATCAGCAGTCTTAAAGGCACTTTGTAACACTGTTGGAACAGGGCAAAAGCCCAAGGACCTGTGGCTAAGAGGTCAGGAATCAGAAAGAGGCCTGTCTTTAGGCACAGCTGAGGAGACACTGTCTAAACTGGACGAACTCTGCCCTGGGCACTTCTGCCCCGGACTTGTGGCCTGTTAATTTCCCTAATAAGCCCCACAGCTGTGAGTATGGGGTTCTGTGCAGTGAATTACTGAACCCAATGAGAAGTAGAGAGTGCTTTGGGAGGAATGGCTGGGGTTAGGGTTGGTTTGCCCTCAGTCTGAAAGGAATTGGCCTTTGGCTGATGTCGAGTTCGATTCTCCTTCCCCTGATGCTGAAGTAAAAGGCAGTCTGATGCGACTTTCCACAATCTTTTTTTGGGGGTTACTGGCCTAAGTCACACAGTCAGTTCACTTGACCTAGATCCAGGCTAGGTTGCCTCTTGGTAGGATTTTGTGCATTATGTTAACAAGCTTGCAAATATGAACTTGTTTAATCTAGTAGTAATCCAAGAGATAAGAATTAAGTTGGTCCATAAGAAATTGTTGTTTTTGTAAGTCCAATTTCCAAATATTGGCATTATTACATGGTTCAACTTAATGCTATTATCATACCCACTTGATCAAAGAAAAAACAGGCACCGAAACATTAAGAGCAAAGCCGGATTCAAACCTAGCAGACTGACTCCAGAGTCTTGTTCTTCATCAGGTTACCTGGCTGCCTCCCATTATGAAAGGGAACTTTTCACATGACGGCAGCATCAATTAGCAAAACAGTCCAACTCTGGAGCGCTGCTCCAGCTGGGGCTGACTCCTACCTGTACTGGCCCATTCATCAGACTTTTCCAGTGCTGGCTGCAGATGTACTTCTCCAGGTGCTGTTCCCTCAGCACCCCGCGCATGGTGCACTCCAGGGTCTGGGCTCCTACATGCAGCTCTTGTTCAGATTCCTTCATCTGTGTTATGATCTGCCCGGAACAGAGGAAAAGAAACGATGAGGAGATATCATCATCCTCTCAAACTTAGTGCCTGTCTTGAGGGAAAACAAAGGTAACACAGGAAAAGAAAGACGAGAGAATAAAAAGTCAACAGATCAGTCAACAAATCAGTCACCCGAAACACAGAACTGTGGTCCAGAAAACAAAAAATCTGTATCTAAAAGACAGCAAGAAAAAGAAAAAATCCAACAGAAGAACTTGCCAAGGGTACTGTGGCAGAGACTTCTAGCCTCAGAATATCTGTTCTTTCTGTCCTGGTCATAAAAGCTCAGATTTTTCATTAGACACACTGCCATCCAGCTAAGTGATAACACTTCCCAGGAATCCTTGGAAACCACTTGGCCATGTGACTGAGTTCTGGCCAATGGGGCATAAGTAGAAGTGCTGTTGGTGGTTTGGGGAAGGTAAGTATGCCCTTCATTCTTCATCCATCTTGGATCATGTGGTAAATGAATGGAACGCTGGAAGGATATTGGGTCCTTGATAGATGGTTTTTTCAATAATTTTTCTTTTTGTTGAGAATAAACAGCAAACATATTCACCAATTCAAGTTTCCCTATGTACAATTCAGTGGCATTGATTACATTCTTGAAGTTGTGAGACAATTCTCAGCTCTCATTTCTCCACTGTTCCTCCCACAATAAATTCACTGCACCTTAAAGTTCCTATCCTTTTGAGCTGTTGTTGTCAATTTGATCCCATACAGATTTCAAAAGAGTATAATGCTGTCCTCCATGTCCCTCTTGTGATCAGACGGACCCTCCACGTCTACCCTGAGCCACCATCTCACAAAGCTACTGCTCTGCTCTTACTCAAGTCCCCCTTAAGCTGCTTTGGACAACCCGAAGCTGAGACTTACACTCATGTAGGCCCTTCGGAGGTGCATGGGGAGGTTGTGGCGGAATTCCCGCTTGTTCCGCAGCTCCCTCAGGGTGAACTGTTTCAGAATCTCACTGTTGCTCCTTCCACCCACTCTCACAATGCTGGTCTTCTGACACTTGTAGATACCTGTGGAACAAAATGAGCAGAAAGCTGAGAGAAGTTCAGCTGGGTTTTCTCAGGTGGGGGCTGTGTTTCCCTGGGCCACTTCCCACAGTCCTTAGGAAAAACACTGGTGCTTATAAGACATTTACCTTCTTAGTGAAGACAAGACCTGACCTGTGGAGCCAGTAGAGCAGGGGTAGGGAACATGTAAGGTCTGGGAAACCATTTGGTCTGGCCCTGCCAAGGCAACCACAGTTCTAGCCATCACAATGTTTTTACTGTTAAGTGACTTCAAGTCAGTTCTGATTCATAGTGACTCTATGTAAGGCTTCCAAGGAGCAGCTGGTGTGTTTGAACTGCTGACCTTGGGGCCCGGTCTAGTGCTGATCTTACAGTACCACACCAGAAGTCCAGCCATCACATTGTTGTTATTGTTAAGAGCCACTGAGTCAATTGTGACCCAGAATGACCTTGTGTAGGATTTCTGAGGAGCAGCTAGTGAGTTTGAACCACCCATCTTGTGGTTCAAACCAATCTTGGGACCCAGTGTTTTATTCCACAGGGTGAGTTAATTAAATGTTTGACCAAATATAATTGGCTAATTTTTAAATTGTTAATTTTGTATGGCCCATGAATGATGTTACACGTGTTGACAGAAAAAAGGTTCCCCACCCCTGCAACAGAGCACACACAATTGCAGACCCAAACTTTGACTACATTATTTACAGTTGTGGTGTGGCCCTACAGGTTAATGCGCTGGGCTGCAAAATCGCTTTGAACTGCAAAGTCAGTGGTTCAAGCTTACCAGCTATTCCTCGGAAACCCTACACAGGGGTTGCTATGGGTGGGAATCTAATGGACGGCACTTAACAACAACCTGAGGCAGGTTACTTATTTAACCTCAGCTGCAGATACCTGTCTACTAACTGAAAGGTCAGTGGTTTGAACTCACCAGCTGATCTCAGAAGGAAGACGTGGCAGTCTACTTCTGCTAAAACCCTATGGGGCAGTCCGACTCCTGCTATGAGCTGGAATTGGTTAAGGACAATAGATCTTCCTTACAGGGTTATAGCAGGAGTGCTGGTGATGCTGTACAATAAACACTGGACTGCTAGTCACAAGGTTGTCAGTTCAAATGCACTAGCTGCTCCACTGGAGAAAGATGGCGCTTTCTGCTTCTGTCAAGATTGACAGTCTTAGAGACCCTACACAAAGTAGGAGGTGACTTGATGGCACCTAAAAATAACAGGGTAACAGTATGGATAAAGGCGATAGTATGGTCAAAGCTCCTAGTTTCTGGGCTCGGCACAAAGCAAGCAGCCAGTCAAAATTAACTGTTACCACTCATCCTACAGATATTTACTGATTGCTTATCTGCCAGGCATGTGCTAGATGCAAAGGTTCTAGTAGTCAAAATGCAGACTCAGCTCTTGACTTGTTCTCATGTCTTACTCTAGCAGAAAAAAAAACTTATTAGACAATTTATGACAATAGTGATGTGACATTATGGCCCGTGACAGGGGGATGACATGTGGCTGTGGGCAGGCAGGGGAAGGGTAGGTGAGGACCCAAAGGCGCCAAGAGTTTAGTTGGGAGAGGCAGGAAGAAGCCTACAGGGGCTGTGGTGCCCAGGTGGACAGGGAGTGAGTGGGTTTCTTGTCCAGGATGGGAGGTGGTGGGCGATCCCTGTGGCATCCGTAGTGGTAGACAGGGTGTGATGGGGAAGAGGCTCACAGCCTAGGACACACCAGGGGCACCCAATGGGCAATGATAGCATGCGGGGAGGAGACACTGGCACTTGAAGGCAGAATCTAGCACTAAGCCAGCAGTGTCAATAACAACCTGGTCTTTGTGGCCTGTCATGTCAACATACTAGGAGAGTGTGTACTTATTCATTCATTCATGCAGCTAGTATTTGCTGAGTAATATGTACCCAGATTGGTGAAAACAGCAAGAACAGGCCCAACCTTCATAGTCTAGAGTAGAAACATGTAAAATCCATTACACAAACAAGTCATGATGTAGACGTTAAATCTATAAAGAAATAAATACCACAGCAGGCATAACCTTATTGGAAACAGTAGGAAAACTCCACCTGAAGAAGAGAGATTTCAAAGTGAGACTCCAAGAATGAGCTGGAACAAGCTAGGCAGGATAGCTTAAAAGGGAGGGAGGGAGGGAGAAAAAATCCAAATACATTCCAGGTGGGGAACAGCAAGGGAGACTCTGGAGGAACTCAAGGCACTGAAAAGAAACAGCATGGCTGCAGTTTGGGAAAACTGGGAAGAGGGAGATGTGGTTCAGAATTAGGCGGGGGTAGATCACACATTGCCCTGTCAGTGTGTGATAACACAAAGTGAATAACTGTGGACGTTATTCAATGTGCGGTAGAAAGCTGGTGGTACCATTTCAAATTCAACTGTTCAATACGCATATTACCTTCTAGAAACTGATCCAGAGCATGGTTAGTATAACACACAACCAAGATGGGGAACTTCTGGTAGTTAACTTGCCAAACCAGCTTGTTGGTTAGAAGAGCCTGAACAATTTTCAGACCCACATAGGTTTTGCCTAGAAAACACAGAAAAAAAAAATGAGTTAAGAATTTAGAGACTTTCTGAAACGAGCATAACGTTAAAAAACACTTTTTTTTAAAAAAAGGTAATACATTCAGATGATTTCAAATCCAAGAAGCAGAAAAGCACATGTTGTAAAAAGTCTTCCCCACATTTCTGTCCCCTTGTTATCTAGTTCGTCTTTCTGGACGCAACCAATGTTACCAGCTTCTTAGTAACTCCCAGAAACAGTCACTCTAAGCATCTACAAATAAATACAAACAAATAGGAATATGTATGCTTTTCTAGTCTCCACCTCCCTTTTTGTATTATGAATAGCAGACTACTTTCACTGTTAAATATCTTGCTGTTTTTCAATTAATGCATCTTGGAGGCAGTTCTCTATCAATATATAAAAAAAATTCGCTCATCTTCCTCTTGTTTTTTTTTTTTGTAACTATAAGGACACATATCTTTCCTCCATTTGTCCCCCTTCAAATACTATTTCTTGAATGTCTACTAAGGTGCACTGGATTAGATGCTAGAGAGTCAATGGTGAACAAAACAAGACAAGATTCTTATCCTTCTGGTCCTGCTCGTCCTAAAGAGGAGAAAGATACCAAGTAACCACACAAATCGATGTGAAATTTTAAATGTGGAAACTGAGAAATACATGGCACCAAGAAAGCACATTATCTGGGATTCTGGCCTTGCTGATGAAGTTGGACAAGGACGAGTGGGTAGGAAGAGTGGCCAGGTTGCAGCAGTGGTGTGAAGTAGGCTGGCTGGGGAAAAGCTTCCATGACTAAACTGACTGGAAACACTGGATTAGGATTTGGCTGGGGGGTAGGGGTAGGGGAAGTGAACAGAAAAGGACAGTTTCTGGTTTGGAGGACTGGATGAGTATGGATCCTTCTGTCTGAAGAAGCAGGTTTGTACTTCAGTATTTACTCTACCCCTCCGCTGTTTCCTGTCATTTACCCCTTCACAGAGATAACTTTTGGGATTTCACTCCAATAGTGATTCCCTTTACTACCTCCTTCTATACTCACAGGTAGGCCCTTCCATAGTAGCAGTGTGTGTGTATGTCTTAAAACAAGCTAGAAATGATTTCTGTAACTTGAGTTAAAGGTTCCTAATTCAAGTGCAACAACAGGAAACATTATTTGCAAAACGTCTTACCTAGAATATACAAACAGTTCTTACAAATTAGTAAGAAAGAGAAACAATTAAAGAGAAAATGGGCAAAGAATATGACAAGATAACCCACAGGGCAGAAATACAATTATCTAACAGTTCTAAGAGGGACATTTAAGCACACTCTTAATTTAAAAAATACACATTGAACTCCTGTGATACATGTGGCCGGATGGTAATTCGGCACAATCTATTAAATTTACATATACATACACTCTTGGACTTAGCAATTATTCTCTTAAGAATTTTTTTCTGGGTATATTCCATTAATTTGTGACATAACTCACAAACAAAGCTAATCATTGAAGTATTCTTTTAACAACCATTCAACAGGGAACTGGTTAAATAGATCATTACATAGCTGTATGGTGGAAAAGAATCATAAACGGGAATGAGACGTCTCTGAGCTATTTCACAACTGAGTGTAAGCACAAAAGTGCTGACAGCATACTGGGTCAGAAAGGGGGTAAATAAACAGCTGTATCTTTTTGAGTATTCATAGTGTATTCCTGGAAGGATCACGGAAAACTGATGAACACTGTTTGCTTTAGGGAGGATATAACTAAGTGGAATGGAGAAAAAAGGATTTAAAAAAATTATGAACCATTTTTAGTAAAGCAGAAAATTAAAATTAATAAAAATGAAATATAAGCTTTTAACTTCTCAGATCAGCAAAACTAAAAAGGTCAAATCATGTGAACTGAAAAGACTATAAGGAAATGGGAACACAAATTCAATTTTGGTAGGAGTACAAATTGGTATCTCTTTTGGGGAGAGTAACTTAGCGGTGCCTATGCACTCCTGGTGTAGCGCTGTCAGATCAGCACTGGACTGTGAACCACAAGGTCAGCGGTTCAAACCCACCAGCTGCTCCTAGGAAACACTGTACAAGGTCACACTATGAGTCGGAATCGACTCAACAGCACTGAACAACAAGATATAGTTAACTAAAGGGGCCCTGATAGCATAGTGGATTATGGGCTGGGCTGCCAACCCCAAGGTTCAAATCTATCAGTTTCTCTGTAGGAAAAAGAAGAGGCTTTCTGCTCCCACAAAGATTTCCAGCCTCGGGAACTCAATAAGGGGTCACTATGAGTTGGAACTGACTCAGAGGCACACTACCACTATCTCTTAGGAACCCTGATGCTGTGGGATAAGCACTGGGCTCCTCACTCCCCACAGGGTCTCTATAAGTTGGAATCAACTCAATGGCATTAGATTTGATTAGAACTATTGATGTAAATTCCCATATTTAAGAAAAAAAAAGTCACAGAAATACAATCAGCAGAATATCCAAAGATACACACACATCTATACAGACATTCATTGCAGCTCTGTGTGTAACTGGTGTTAGGATCCTCCTGTTGGTTCTGACTTACAGCAGCCCCATACACAACACAACACCGGCTGCGCCGGCCTCATAATAGCTGCTGTGTGTGCGGGGACTGTAAAAAAAAAAAAAGAGTTATATTTCCAAATGTTACTTTAATGTAAACATGCATTATTAAAAAATTGTAAATCTCTATACAGAGAATGACCCTTCTGTTATTTAAAAAAGTGTATGCATGAACGCCAGTACACACACAGACACATGGACGCATCAGTGCCGAAGATGCACATCAAATTGCTAATAGCACCTATTGCCCCAGATGGGATCAGTGGTAGCTGGGGGTGGGGGGATGATGGTGTGTTTTATTTATTCCCACAAGAGCCAAATACTGTGTGGTAGACAGGAGTCAGGATTCTAGAACCAGAATGTCTGAGTTTAAGTCCTAGATCTGTCACTCTGTGAGCCTCAATACATTATTTAACACCTTGTTGCCTTAGTTTTCTCATTTGCAAAATGCACATAGTAATGACTTCTAATGCACTGGGTTGTTGTGAGGAAGCCATGAGTCAACATATGCAGAGCACCCTAAACAGTCATTCACTGGCAATAATACTATTATCACATACCCAATACAATTTAAAACAATATCAAATCAAATGAATGCATCTGTTCTTCATGAAGCAGAAAGAGTGCCTCTCCCTAAGCTTGGTCTTGTCTAACCATGTGATTTTAGTCGGTTATCATCCGATGGATGATCCTCACAGGAAAACCACTGTGAGCTTGATGCCCATCTTCAGAGGAGCGGTTCTAAACAGGACATTCTAAGAACTTGGAGCCAAACAAACTTCCCTTGTCTATCTCACAAGAAGATGTCAAGTGCTCCGAAAATTGTTCTCTCTTACCTGTTCCAGGAGGTCCTTGAATAATAGCCAGTTCTCTTGTGAGGGCAAACTGCAAGGCTTCCATCTGGGAGGCATCCAGCTTCAGGGCTTCCTTTGAGGGCCATTGGCTGGGCTCTAAGACATCAACTCTGGTATGTCTCAAGTCCTCAAGGCTCCTCAGAGTTTTCCCAGAATCTGAGTGACTCTGTAGCAAAGCGGTGAAATCATATCTGCCCCCTGCTAGCAAGTACCTTGGCTCCTTCACATGAGAGTCACAGTCTATGATGTTTCTCTGGAAGGGGACATCTTCCTCCTGGACTTCCTGGAGTCCTTCGAGGACATGTCGGTAGGCCTCAAAGTATGCGGTTGTCTCTACCATGAGGAAAGAGTCAGAGGGCTTGACCTCGGCCAGCAGCTGTTGGCTCTGATCATTGAAGCAGAGCTGGACAATTCCTTGGCAGAGATCTTCCTGTTCCCGGTTAGACACAGTGGCAAAAAGAAATGTCTCAAAGTTGTCCTTGGACATGCACACTAAGGACCCATAGAGCAATCGCTTGGAATTCTGCCAGCGAACAAACTTCAGTGGTTTTGTGTCAAATTTCACCTTGTAGACAATACCTGATGCTGAGCACATGGGGGTGATGATCCTGGCGTCGAAGTAGATCCGTATGTCATCAAACTTTCTCTTCCTCAGGCCCTGGTCTTCAAAGCTCTGAAGAAGTTCCAAAATCCCTTCCCGTAGGGGTCTGACAAAATCTTCTCGAAGCAGTCGGAAGTGAGTATCCAGATAGATAGCAGTGCTGTCGTATTTCCCAGTGATGATGTTGGGGCGAAGGAAGGGTCTCTCATCCATGTGCACTTCATTGTAGGTAGGATAAATGGGCATAGTCCGGTAGCCCTCAGCCTGGTCTTCGGCCTCAGGCTGCACGAGGGTAAAGGTGTCCACTCTTAAAGTACCCTCTCGCCTCTTTTCCTGCAGATGTTCAATGATGACCTGCACCTTTTCTAGGTTCTTCTCTGTCTCCTCTTCTATGTTAACTCCTGAGGCCCTCAGAGCATTAAGGGAAGCTGGCAGGAGGGAGATAAGCATGGATGTTTCCTGCACAGAGCTGGAAGGGAAGATGCTTACAAGGTCTTGGAGGAGCGAGATGATGTTGCTAATGTGCTCTGGATACTGGTTTCGAATGTCAGGAATGGGTTCAGTGATCATCCCTACCACATAGGCAGGCAGGCAGACTCGGAGGAATTCAGAGTTCTTCAATATGCCCAGTACATGGAGAATACTCTGCCGGTCCATCTTAGAGCTGCAAGCCTTCCGAAGAACCTGGCAGATGAGCTCAAGGAAGTTGGGTTTCATGAAAGAATGAGACAGGAGCTCCTCCAGACCTAAACTCGTGGCCAGTGTGATGACCACCTCAGAGGGGTCTTTCTGCAGAAGACTTTCGAGGAACTTGTAGCCCAGCCTCTTTACCTGCTGCGACTGTTCTGCAGGCTTCTGGTAGGGGCTCCGCCACTGCTGGAAGTTTTCACTGGGTCGTGGTGGTCTGCGGTTTCTTCCTTCCTGGTTGCCATTCCTCCGCCTGGTGTCATTCTCTTGACCGTGTCTTTGGCCTCTAGCTTCTTCATTGGCGTGGCCCTCATGGTTCCTCCTTCCTGGATGTGGGTTCCTGCCCATGGCCCCAAACCTGTCTTCCCTTTGCCGGCAAGCAAAAGGATTGTTGTTGGCCCTGGGATGCCTCCCAGGCTGGTTGGCTCCTCCTCTAGGAGCACTTGCCGCTGGGTTTCTAGCTCTTGGTGGTAAGTCTTCATCCACAGTCCCTAAAGACAACATGAATACTAGGTAAGTGCAGCAATCAAGGGAGAAGGGAAACCTAACAGGTCAGCAATGAACAGGCTCTCATTTTCCAAAACAACTAAGGAGGTTAGGTTTTTATGAGTGGGGGAGGGGGGAAAAAAGTTTCTGCCAAGTGGAAGATAAATGGAAGATGGATTCATAATAATACATGGATTATTGTATATTTTGGTGCTGTAGCATAAGCACTTGACTACAAGATCAGTTTGAACTGCTAGGTTGGCGGTTCAAATTCACCAGGCACTCCTCAGAACCCTATACAGGGTAGCTATGAGTCAGAACTGACTTGACGGCACTCAATAACAACAACATACATATTGTGGAAATATACTGCTTCTCAAAGGGTACAAAAGGAGAAAAGGAACAGATATCGGTTGAGTAACTAACAGGGGCTAGAGAATGAATAATACAGTAGTAGCTCATTGAATTCTCAAAAGCTGGGACTTGAATTTCAGAGGGTCAGAAAGATGAGCTCCTGGCTTCGAGTATCTTGCCAATTTCAAATAGTAGTCCACACCTGAGTTTCAAAGTTAAACATACATGTTTCTGGCTGTTGTAAAGATTAAATGTTTACAAACCTGACACACACAAATCTCTCAATAAATGTTAGTTATTACTAGTGACCCTAGTAATTATTTTCAATTGGGAATACCCTATTGATTTCGAGGGTCACTGGTTCTGCCACAGGCTATAGAGATGCCAAGTGGGATGAAACTAAAAAGGGAAACATGACTGGAATTTTAGCAGCAAATTTAACAGCAAAGGTAGTTCAAATGATAAAAGGGGAAGGTGGAGTTTGTTTTTCTTTAACCAAAATGTTTTTGAATAGTGAGGAAATCCAAAAATTAAACTCAGTGGTGGATACATGGCATTATGCATTTGTCAAATTCTAGCAGAACTTGAATACAAAGTGAAGCTAATATAACGATGGACTTTGGTTAGTAACACTGTAGCAATATCAGTTCATCAACTGTAACAAATATACAACTAATGTAAGGTGGTAATATGTGTGGGGTAGAGAAGGGATGCTAAGAACTCTACTTTCTGTGCAATTTTTCAGTGTGGTGCTGTGGGTTGATGCGCTGGACTGCAAAGTTGGTTGGAACTGCAAGGTCGATGGCTCACTAGCCACTCCTTGGAAACCTTATACAGGGTCAATATGGGTCAGAACCAATTCAATGGCACTTAACAACAACAACAACAAAACAACTGTTTTGGACTCCTATGGCCTCACAGTTAAGTACTTGGCTATTAACGAAAAGACTTGCAGTTTGAATTCCCCCATCAGCTCTTCCAGCCTAACAATCTGGCGATAAAAATTACAGCTTAGAAAACCCTATGGGGCACTTCTACTCTGTCTGTCACATGGGTCAACAACAGTGGAAATTAACTTGAAGGTAACTAACAAGAATAAAGCTATTTCGGTAAAAAGGAACCTCATGTTTTGTTTCAGAACACTGGAAACCGAAACTCATGCTTTATCTCAGGAAATTGAAACTGAAACTCAAGTCCTGCTCCCTTCTGCCATATGATTTCAACCTCATGGCACTTATCTATCACCAAAACTCATATAGGAAAGTGGGGGTGGAGCGGGGAGGAGGGAGGGAAGCCCCACCACCAGCACAAACAAGAAAGTCCAAAATCACACAGTAGATGAAGTGAAACCGGTTTTCCTGGCTCTGCCACAAACTTCATGAGTGACCTGGGCCAAAATACCCCAAATCCTGTTTCATTTTCCTTTCCTCCAAACTGATTCTGGAGCTCACCCAACTTGGCGTGACTTGGAGATTTGAAAACAAACACAATTAGACTATGTACAATGATTTGATGATAAAAATCTGGTGAAAGCTTCAAAGGTTTGTTCAAAATAATAAATATACCTTATCATGACATCAAATACTAACTTCATTTATGTACTTTTCTTCTCTTCTTATTTTGAAATAAAAAAGTTCAACATTTAATATTTTGATCTGATTAGAAAACTTGCTATCTTGGTAGAATGCACAATGGAATCATCTTTCAACTCTCAAACAGCTCATACAATATAATGTCATGGTTTTTCCTAATTTGTTCCCCAGCTAAAATTAGGGTGAAATGTTGCAAACTTATTGAAAAGCAGGAACTATTTGGTTGCTTTCTTTAAGGAAGTTCTGAACAGACACAACAATCACTATTGTGGAACTTATTTTGCTTTGGTGACTAGGATTCTTGATCTGCACGGTTTTAAAACATAGGCCTTAGGCATGAGTGAGATGCCCCAGGGATGCAACGGTTGAAGTGCTCATCTGCTAACTGAAAGGACAGCAGTTCAAACCCATCAGCTGCTCCATAGGAGAAAGATGTGGCAGTCTGTTTCAATAAAGACTACAGCTTTAGAACTCTGGTGGGGCAGTTTGACTCTGTCCTAGACAGTTGCTGTGTGTCAGAATCGACTTGATGGCAGTGGACAGGGTTGGAGCTATGAGTGGCTACCGAACACCTACAATATGGTTAGTCCTAATCCAGACGGGTAAAGGAGCTCTGGTAGCGTAGTGGTTACGAATCGGGCTGCGAACCTTAAGGTCAGCGGTTCGAAACTACCAGCTGCTCCGCGGGAGAAAGATGAGGTTTTCTACTCCCGTAAAGATTTACACCCTCGGAAACCCTGTACAGGGTCGCTATGGGTCGGACCCGACTCGATGGCACTTAACAACAACAACAACAACAATCCAGACGGGTAAGGAGCTCTGGTAGCATAGTGGTTACGAATCAGGCTGCGAACCGCAAAGTCAGCAGTTCGAAACTACCAGCTGTTCCGCAGGAGAAAGATGAGATGAGGCTTTCTGCTCCCATAATGATTTACAGCCTCAGAAATCCTGCACAGGGTCACTATGAGTCGGAACCGACTCTACGGCACATAACAACAACAACAACTCATCTGGAGTCAAAAAGAAAGAAAGAAACTAAAGATTCCAAGAAGAATCTAGTTGACAGGACTGATTGCTTACATGAACCATGGACTAATCTATCCTGAAACCAGAACTAGGTGGAACCTGGCTATCATCGCCTACAGTTCTGACCAAGGACACACTAAATGGCACCAGATAGAATGGGAGACAATTGTAGAACAAAATGCTTATAAAATGCAATAAAAAGGCCATTCTTAATGTACTGGTATAAACTAGAGGGACTCCCCTCTCCCTTGCTGAATTGCCCCTTGATGCACTAAAACTATTCCTGAAGGTCAACTCTCAGCTAAATGACCTACTGACTCATAAAATAAACAATGTCACCTGTGAGTACTGCACTTCTTAGATAAAAGGCCTCTAGGAGACCAAAAGGAGCTCTGGTAGCATGGTGGTTACAAGCCGGGCTGCTCCATGGCACATAACAACAGCAACCACAACCACAACAACAATCCCAATGGGTAAAGTGCACAGAGGGTTTCATTACCAAGAAAAAGTTAAATATTTCATCAAACTCTTTCTATGCTGATGACATCTTGAAATGGTTGTACTGAAATATTTGAGAGTAAGTAAAACACATTAAAAGAATCCAAACATTATAATAATAAATTAGTACTCAATTATCATAATATACTATTTTTGATATATTGAACTAAATAAAAAGTTAAATCACACAATTTTACTACATTAGTTTTTGAACACTAAAAATTTCATGGTTGCTTTTCAATTTTGTTAAAGGTACTAGAAAATTAAAAATTAATTTTTGGCTTGCCTGTCCTGGTGTGGCACTGTGGGTTAATGCACGAGACTGCAAAGTCATTTGAATTGCAAGGTCGGCGGTTCGAGCTCACCAGTCACTCCTTGGAAACTCTTTACGGGGTTGCTATTGGTTTGAACCAACTCAACGGCACTTAACAACAAAACACATTTCTACGGGATATGGTGCTGCTCTAGATTAGACAGATCATTCCATTTTGAACAGCCCACCTTTGTCTCTGCAAAAATATGTAAGTGTGCTCATTCATGTACTCTCTAAGTGAAAAGGGCAGGGCTGTCTAGTCTTCAGATGTCAGCTAAGGACTAAGCCATTCTGAAGGAGATGGCAGGAAGTCTTAGGTGGACCTGCTCATTCAAACAGAACTCACTCTCTTTCTCTTATCACTATAATTTCCCTTCCCAATAAATGGAAAGCCTTGCTCACCTCTGCGGTTGTTCTGGGGAATCCTGGGCCTGGCTTCCGGATGAAGTCTTCTGTCTTCCATGTCTGAGTCTCCTGACTTCCTCCACATTTACGTCACTTTCAGTTATCTAGAAATCTGTAGATTAAGAGTTATCAGCTCTTTTGAAACATAGCATGATGAAAAGGAACCCCAAATGGCACCAAGACAGGCTTTCTGCCTCAACATTTCAATACTCTGTCACCTAAGAGTTAAATGGAAAATTTAATCACGGGCACAAGTGCTTCGTTCTGGGAGTGCCTGTCTTAAGAGCTGTTGTATCAGAAATACATACAAGTGGGTGGCTTTAACAGACAGGCTTTTATTTTCAGCAAGAAGTCCGAATTTAGGCTCAAGGGAAAGGTCATTGTATCTTTTACTTGCTGCTCCTCAGTTCCTTGGTAAACTCCACAAGGCATGCATCTATCTTCTCTCTTTTTACTTGTTTACTCTGCTAATCTGTTCTTTTTCTATTTCAAAAGTCACAAATTCCAAGATAGGGCTACACTTTGGAGAGGTTGTTAGGCGGGACTAGTGAAAAAGAGGAAGACCCTCCACAAAGTGGATTGGCACAGGGGCTGCAACTCTGAGCTCAAAGTGACAGTTGTGAGGATGCTACAGGACTGGGCAATATTGTATATAAATTAGGTCACTTGATGAGTCAGACCAACTCAAAGGCACTTAACATCACACACTGATACGATTTCACTAATATAACTAAAGGAAACACCATTCCCAAATGGGATTACATCCACAGGTAAAGGGATTAGGATGCTAATACATACTTTTTGGGATACAATCTAATCTGGGACAGTGCCCAACTTTGCCATAAAGCACTAAGTTCACACAGCAACCGTCTAGGACAGAGTCGAACTGGCCCACCAGGGTTCTAAAGCTGTAGTCTTTATTGAAACAGACTGCCATATCTTTCTCCTATGGAACAGCTGATGGGTTTGAACTGCTGTCCTTTCAGTTAGCAGATGAGCACTTCAACCGTTGCATCCCTGGGGCATCTCACTCATGCCTAAGGCCTATGTTTTAAAACCGTGCAGATCAAGAATCCTAGTCACCAAAGCAAAATAAGTTCCACGATAGTGATTGTTGTGTCTGTTCAGAACTTCCTTAAAGAAAGCAACCAAATAGTTCCTGCTTTTCAATTTAGAGAATTTGAAGGTATCAAATGACCTTTCCCTTTACCCTTGCACTTTCATGGGGTAGAGGAAGGATCAATAACCCCCATTCCAGACTGTGTACTGTGTGTTTTATGCCTTTAGCCAAGTTACTTACTCAGGTGCTAAGTTTTATTTTTCTTTCCTATAAAGTACACAAATTACCATTGCCCAGGTATAGAGAATACAATTTTATTTATCTAAAACCATGTACTCACCACTCCACCCAGCAATTATTATTAAGTGCCATTGAGTCAGTTCCAACTCATAGTGACCTGGTATAGGGTTTCTGAGGAGCAGCAAGTCTATACTTTACAGTAGAGTCCTTGAGTGGCGCTGGACCATAAGGTCAGTTTGAACCACAAGGTTGGTGGTTCAAACCCACTAGCCATTTCTCAGAAACAAGGTCGATATGAGTTGGAATAGGCACGTAACAGTTTATAAATAACTAGTAAGTGGTTATCCCTGATCTCATTTGGAATGCAGCCAACTGATTAAGACCTCTGCTCCATTACATCAAAAGAAATGACTTGCTTTAATAGCCATTAGGTTATAGTTCCATGGTGCCTCAGGACTAGTTGTTGTGAAGTGCCACTGAGTCGGTTCTGACCCAAAGTGACCCTGTATAGGGTTTCTGAGAAGCGGCTGGTGAGTTTGAACCACAGACCTGTGGTTCAAACAGACTAGTTAGAAATTTGCAATTTGTTTTTTCTGTTCTATCTTGATGATTTTTGACACTAGTCCAATCAGAGGAAGAAGTTGGCTCTTTCAGGGAACTTTTAATCCAATTCACGTGCATACTGTGAGCTGGGGGCTAAGAAAAGGGTAGGAGACTCAGAGTACTCAGTCAAGAGACTTTTGAGTTTGTCCCTCATGCTGAGTTTTAGAAAATGTTCTTAGCTGGAACTTTGAATAGATTTTGGCATTACAGGTGGGCTAGCTTTGATCTTCATCAAAAAGGGAGTTCCTTTCCTTCCTACTAGGAAAAATTTTGAGGCCTCTCTTCTCTTATCTAGACGGACTCTCACCACTGGCGCAATAGTTAGGTGTGTTTTTGTTTTGTTTAATTCCCTGAGGGGAAAATGTTTTCTTCCTGTAGGTACAAAATGAAAAAGAACACAAGCATTTTCTGGAAGAAAAGTTAGAAAAGGCAAGGAGGGTAAGAGTGGAAGAGATAAAAACAGAAAATGCTATTGGGGGGGTGTAAAAAAAAAAAAAAAGGTAGACTAATATGAGTTTCTCTGGGATTCCACACCTAAAGGGCAGGAAGGAGAAACTCTGGTGATGGTCAAGTTGGAATGTGGGTCAGAATTAGAGGAGAAAGAGAATTACAATTACCAGGGTGGGATGAAGGAGAGGAAGAAGTAAGGAGGCCACAGATGGGTTTCCAGGGGGCAGTCTCCAAGGTCCTGAGAAAGAAAAGTATAAGGGTGCTGATGGAAATATTATGGGGTCAAGAAGAAAGGTGGCAGGAAAACTGTGGAACTGGAACCTGAAATGGACAAGTCTAGGTGCTAAGGACAGAGATGAATGAGATGACGGGCAAGGAGGGTCAATGGGGGGGTGGTTGGGGCAGAAAGTGTCGGCAGAGGTAGAAGCTGCGGGATAAAGAACGAGATGATGGGATCACAGGCAGATGTGATGGAGGTGGGTGATAGGGTCGCTGGGGGCGCTGGAGGAACACAGGGCACTGGAGATGGGAGGGGGTCGTGGAGGGCCCTCGGAAGAGGGTCGCAGAGGCTGGGGCGCTGAGGGGCAGCGCAGGTGGGTGACGGAGGCATTGGGCACTGACGAGGTGAGGAGGTGTTGTGAAGGAGTGGGTGGGCGACGGAGGTGACACAGGGGCGCAGAGAAAATGATGTGGGTGTTGAAGAGGGTGCGGGGCAGGTGGGTGCTGTGGGGTCTGGGGAGCTGGGGTAAGGCGGATGGGTGGTGGAGGTGCTGGGCACCGAGAAGGGGTGATGGGGGTGCTGAGGAGAGAGGAGGGGATGCTGAGGAGGGTGCAGGGGGCGCGGGGTGGAAGCAGTGGCGCAACGGCCTGGGAGCAGGGGTGGGGGGCACTCACCGGCTCCGGCGCGTCCTCTCGACGCCGCCGCCGCCGCTGCTGCCGGACCGGCTCTGACCCAGGCAGGTCCGCGGCCGCGCCCGGCACCGCGCACTTTCGATTTCCCTTCCCCGCAGACTCGGGGCGGGGCTATCAGCGGGGCGGGCGGAGGAGGCGGGCGGCAGGGCGGGAGAACGCGTGGAGTCGCCTTAGCTCCCCGGCGGCGGTGCTGGTGGGCTCCTGAGGGCGCGGCTGAAGGGTGGTGACTGCAGGGTGCGGACTAACTGTGCCCAGGGCTATCGCAGGCCTCAGCCTGGCCCGGAGGAAACTTGCCTCAGCCAGTGGCTTGGTGAGAGTGAAGTGCGACATGGCGGCGAAGCCGAGGAGCCTAATGGCCTTGCCAGTACGGGGCAGGGGGTGGCGCTAACGCGGCCCTGATAACCATGAAGTCGCTTGAGGGAAGTGTCAGGAAAACTACATTTCCCACTGTCCCGCGCGGCGGGAAGGGGAAGCGCCTCGCGCTTATTGCGCATGCGCGAGAACCTCGTCTGTGTATATAAACCAGATCCAGGCCAACTCTCGTTCTTTTCGTCTGTGGCACGTCTTACTACTGTGGATTTAGTCCATCCACATCCGATGTCAGCCTGTCCCGCGGTCTCCAATTTGCTAATGTGTCGGGTGAGCGTCAACCCCTATTGTATTCTATGGTCGTCCTTTTCCCTTCCTGTGCGTCTACTGCCGCCGTTCTTAGTTTGCCCACCAGCTCTGATTTCAGATAGGCCGTTGGGCCGTGCGGTGGAAATCTTTTGGGAAAAGCAGCGGTCTTTTAAAATTTTTGCACGGACACAAGGTCCCCATGGCTGGTATAAATGATGACTTTACTTTTTTCCCCATCAGATCGACAATGCTGATGTCTTTGCATATTTGCCAGTTACTTCTGATACACCAGCCTCAAAAAGCTCGGGACTGTGTATTTCCGGCCATGGGAAGATAGCGTTTAATGCGCTTACTTTTGTTTGCAGGTCAAGGCAACTAGAGAGTACAGGATGGTTGTTGAAGGAAGCTACCTCTTGGTCAGTGAAGGAGCCCGGTGCAGACATTTCCAACCTTCGGTTTCCTGATCCATGTTTGGGGTAAGCATTTGCCTCTTAGTTAGCTTAAAGAATAGAGGATGTATCGTTGAATTCTTGGGTGTTAATGACCCCTGGTGACGCTATATGATTAGATTGCGTGCGCTTAAATTTCCAAGTGGATGGATAATTTGTTGGTATTTTTTGAGAGCCACATCTGGGGTGAGACTTCCTTGGGAGCACATGGTTATCTCTTGACGTTGATCACACTGGCCTTGGCCTTTACCACGTGGTTCAGCGATATTCGTATTTTGTGGCACAACACAGAAATGCTCAAATGTTGATTGACTTCGCAAACATGGATGCCGACCAGGCAAATCTCTATGGCCCAATGTCTACGTTGGGGATATTTCTGCCTGGAAACACCTTCCAGCTGGCATATATGATGACCGAACTTTTTTCCCCAACAGATCGACCATGTTGATCTAACTCCTAAGCCAGTTTCTGTCTGATATGCCAGTGTGAGCAGTGCCTGCGTCCCTTCTCCCTTGAGCACTAGCTGATGGGAATGGGTCTTTCTGTTTACATCTCAGGTTTGCTGTTGGCAAGACTCTGACTTTGGACTAAGATTCCCGCTGTAGGAAAGGATTGGTAAATTGATGACCATTCCCAATGTGTCTCCTTCAGTTGAATAAAATCTAAATCTAGTTTTAACTCAAATCTGGCCATTGCAGCTGATGACATAACTTTTTTCCCCATCAGATCGACCCTGTTGATTTAACTAACTACTAGCCAGTTTTTGTCTGATGCATTGG